GGGCGGCTTCCTCCCGCCCGGCCCCCGCTGCCTGCGGCGGGCTCGGGGCCGGGGGGGAGGCGGGGAAGGGCGCCGGTTTCGCTTTGCCGGGCGGAGTACGGTTGAAACGCATGCAAGCCACGGGAAAACCGGGATTCGGCTACTTTTTCCTTCGAGGGCTGGCAGCTGGTGTGTATTGGCCTTTAGCACAGCAGCCTTTTCCTCGGGCAAGATGGGCAGCGCAGACCTCGGAGGGGCGAGGGCGGCCTGGCTGGGTAGAGGAGACCCCCGTGGGGGTGACTTGCACCCCTCCGCTGGAGTGCGATACCCAGCTCTGCTTTTACTCCCGCAGCCAACGTAAAACTCGCACGAGCATAAGGCGAGCGGAGCCAGTTTATCTGTCCCGGGTGCTGGCAGACTCGTGCTGGCGATGCCCAAGGCTCCGGCGTGCTCCCAGCGGTGCGAAATGCAGCAATAAACAAGTCATATTCCTGCCTCTGTTTTACAGGCTGCCCTGTCGGGGCGTCTCAAAGCGGCACGCGGACAAAGGCAACGCTGTCACCAAAGGGGGAAACTGAGGCTTGAAGCAGTCATGGGAGTAAAATGCAAGTCTCCCGGGTGCTGGCTGCACGCCCTCACCCGAGTTGGCATGGGCCAGCCCTGTGGGTCTCTCTGTGCCTGCCTGCTGAGTGTACGTGCTCCTGGGCAGTGGGATGTGCTCACGCGGTCCCTGTACCCCACACCTCTGCTGTGAAATAACCCTCATCTCCAGGGCAGGAGGGAGGACTGACCGCAGAAGCAGCATGAAGACGCGGTGACTGCAAAACACTTGTGTCAGCTCTGCAAACCACCGCACCGTCACCGCCACAGACAGGTCCACCACCGCCTCCTCTTTACAAATGAGTAAGCCAAAATCCAAACCCTGGCTTCCAGGCTGCTAATCCACAGGGAGGAGGCAGCCTCCACCCCTTGGGCATCTCGCACTTCGGCTTCCCCACGCTGCCCCTAGCAAGCAGCGGAGCTAAGGGAGTGTAACCTCGCTGCTGGGGAGCAGAGCCAGCAGAGCTTTCCCTGATTTACACTCCTTCTCCCACAAGCAGCTTCTGTGGAGTTCCTGTCCTACCCCCAAGGAAGGCGCTGGCTCCTGCCATGCCGAGATAAGCCACTTGCCAGTGTCAGCGCTCTGGAGATAAGTAAACAGGAGGCGTAATTTGATTTGCACTGATTAAGCTGCTGGTGGAGGTGAAATCTAGAAAATAAAACAAGCTACAGCGAGGACCCAAAATTTTCTCCTTGCTAATATTTCAGGGGTGGCAATATTGAAAATATTTGTCATCGTAAAAGTTTCCAACCAAGAGGGGGTTTTTGGTTTTTTTTTTTGAGGGGGGTGTCTTTTCTCTTTCTATAACAGGGTATTTGGAAGGAAGGATGGGGTAAAGAGGGCACTGAGCTGCCCCATACTCTGGGGCTGTCTGCACCACAGAAGGGTAGGAGTCGAAGGGGGCCAGTAGGGATGGGAAGCTTGAAGGGCTGGGTTACACTGTCCTTCAAGGATTATTTTATTCCTCCACTGGAAAAATTAATCACTGCATACAAGTTGTAATCACTAAACGAAGCACAGAAATACCCACTATTTTACCCACTGAGGGAGGATAGACATGGGGTGAAAGGGTTAAGCTGGGAGCTGAGGTCTGAACCTGAAGTCTGTCTCCCCTGCAAGTGCCCAGCTTCAAAGGCACAAAAGGAAGTTTGGGGCCTAGACTCCCACTGACAACAACCAGGGTCAAGCCTGAGACTGCCATGTGGGCTGCCGAAAACATCCCTCTGTGCTTCCAGATGCCTGTCCACAAGGCGGGGAAGATAACACGGTTGTGCTGCATGGCATGTGCAGAGGACGTGTTTGGGAGGCGCTCAGACATGTGGAACACATAAGAGTCTAAAAAACCAGCAGATCACACCCTTCAGAAAACATCCTTCTGTCCCTGGGTCCCCTGTTGTCATTTATGACTAAACTTCGGCGTGGCGCAGAAGGAATTTGAAACACTTTTCAGAGCTGCTGGCAGCTGCTCTCCTCCCCATCCTCCTTCCTCCAACTCTGCTGGACTGTCCCCTGCACTCCAATCCTTCCCTATTTTACCCTCTCTGCTACCACTGCTCACAGTGCTCAGTTTGTTAACTGCAGCTCCGTTTCCCTTCGATGATTAACTCCAACTGTCCAAACACACAGGGCTCTGGGAGAGCTGTTCAGATGCCCAAATGTAGGCATCAAGTGCCATTTTCCATGCCCCGGGGCACCCTGCCTGGCCCCTGGCTGCTGCCCCAGGAGGGAAGGAGCGAGCCTGCCATAGGTCCAGTGCTGTATCTGCCAGCCCCACGCAGATGTCTTGGATCCCCAGCAGTGCCTAAAACGGAATTAGACACCTACGTTTTGGGCACCAGAGCAGCTCCCCAGATTGCTGTATTTTTATATTTAGTTTCTTTGTTTTTCTTAGCAGGGTGTGCAAGGAGGCAAATCCAGACTCTTGGGAGGGAAGGGGTGAAAGTGACCCCGCAACCGCAGTTTGTGTCTTTTTTTCCATAGCCCTGCTCTTCAGATCGTACATGTGCATTTTACCATTGCTGTAACTGCACTCCCTTTGCTCCCCCAAAACTATTCTGCAGTCTCCTACTCCTTTTGCCCACACTGATCTGAGAGGTCTCACCCTTCCTATACATAAGGAATCCAATCTGCAAAAATGTGAATACCCACAAGAAAGTATCCGCTTTCCTGTTAGCCAATCACAACCCCTCAGGAGAAACAAAGTCTAAGGTCTCCCTTCAGCCAGACCTCCTAATGTAAGCAAGCTGTCCCCTTCACCCGTTGCCTGGCTTATATATGGTTTCAAATTGATGTTAATTCAGTGACAGATGCGCAAGGTGCCATTAGTGAGTCTTCTTAAATGGAAGCATAATTTTTACCCATCAAGATCCTTTTACCACGCTGGTGCTTGCAACCTTCACTAGGGAATATGAGCCACAGCAGGGAGCTGGTCATAATTTCAACAGAGTCTTGCAGAAATGCAGTGCCAACAGATGCGTGCTGGTTTGGGGGCTCGTTTGAGTCAAACCATCCATGTTCATGGCAGGTTTGCCTCTTCCTGCACCAAGACTGGGTCTGGTTTTGGCTTATTTGGCTTATGATTGTCTTTGGTTAATTTGCAGGGCCAAATCCAATGCCTGCCCTTGTGGGTGGGACAATTCGTATTGGCTTTACTGGAGTTGTATTAGGGGCGTAGTGACTTTTGCCAGACAAAAGGTACCTCGCAGGAGGGACTGGGACAGCATCTCCCCAAACACGCTGGAAATGAGGCTTAGGAGAAAGTCACTTGGTAATACAAGCTGAGAGCACAGTTCCCCCGCCCTTTAGTAGTTGCCTTCATTTGGAGCCCGCAGACAAGGGGACAATTAGTGGTGCTTGCGGTGGGGTGAGTTTCTGTGATGTGGTGGTTTGCCCACTGGGATCTCTTCTGAGGTCAGCAGCCCATTTTGGATCATGCAGCACTGGGCAGCTTTCAGATGGGAACAATTTTTGCTAGTGGCCATCATTACAGGCTGCACATGAGATCATTTAATCTTCAATAGATACTTAAGGAAGTCTCCCTGAGACTGGCTTTTGAGCACAGCTGCACACTCACGCATGCATGTAAAATGGAGAAGGGCTACTAAAACAGGAGAAAAAAATTACCCTTATTCCCTTCTCCTCTGGAGGAACTGTCCCCACCATGGGCTCTGTTTCATCGTGCCAATAAAACTGGAACCAACACTATCACTTGAATTTGCAAGACTGCTTATCAACCCACAAACATTCCAGAGAATAATTGTTCCCTCTCGGACCATGTGGACTGTTTAAAATGCATTGGGGTGGGTGGGGAGGCTATGGTGGGGAAGCTAGTGCCAGAAATGGCTTTTCTGCAAAGCTGGCAGCCTAGAAGAGGAGCCAGGGGAGAGATCCGACTGCTGCACGGTGCGCTGTGGAGAATTCAGGTGCAAGGTACAGGAATTTTCTCATTGGAAACCCCTTCCAAGAGGCCGGCAAGCTTGCCAGGCACCAGATGTTTGTGACTAGTTACAAAGAGCTGCAGTCAAAGCCCTTCAGACGCAAGCTTCTTTTGTGAGCACACTTGTGGTTTGCTGGCTGCTCCCTAATTAAGCTGAGCCTGGAGGAGAGGAGGCCCAGGGATCTGCATCCGTTTCAGCCATGTGAGTCTGAAGAAGGTTTTTACCATTTTTATTGACCGTGGGGCCTGTGCCGTGGAGTTTGCACACAGCAGGAGGTAGGGTCAGAGTGAGAGCATTTGAAAAATGTCAGAGGCTCCTGATAAAGACGGGAGGGTGTTTTGTGAATGAAATATAGGAGAATGTTTCTGGCTTGGTCACTCATGTCCTGGGTGACCTGGACTTTGCTGAGCTGTGGGGAGCTGAGTTAATCTGTGCTAGGTACTAGGTCGTGTTCTGTCCCTTTGAGCTCAGGTAGCCTTGTCTGAGTACCCCAGTGGAGGGACCATGACATACATTTTGGGAACCCCTGGCAGTAATGAGGCTGTTCCTGGCTCCTGTGTCACCCTGCATCTCAGGGACAGGACAGAGAGAGTTGCTGAAGGGCAGCACTGGTGGTTGGTGCACAGTGCTCTCTGGATTATGGTACCTAGAGAAACATGCCTAAATACTACCTTTTGGAATAATTCTCAGCCTTCTCTATCCTGGGGTTGGGGTACT